CAGCAAACCTAATCTAGAATTATTATTTTGTATACCTTTTTTGCACTTTTCTGAATTGAATAGTTGACCAGGTTTTTGTGAATTTGATTGGTTTTACTTGAGTTCTCTATTGTAAAATTGTGCATTTAAGGCAGTATTTTATAATAATTTCTTTGAACTTATTTTTGAATGTTTGACTTATTTTTGAATGAATGTGGTTTTTTGGAATTGGAAATTTTTTCATATCTTTAGGTTGGCATTATTCTTGTACTGTATTTCTATAGCGCTGCCAGCAAACCTGATGTAGAGTTTTTATACTACTTGGAGTGGTTTTGTTTTTAAACCAAATTTATGTTTTGTATTGTAATAATATTTCAGGTTCAGTGTATTTTATGATAATATTGTTCAATTATCAAAGTTATTGGTTCTTAATTCTGAATTCATATGAAAAAATTTTTATTTGGCAGTTTATTATTGTCTTAGTTTATCTTTATGAATTTTTTTCTAAATTGAATGGTTCTTCTTGAAATTGTGAATCTAATTAATATTAATTGTGTATAATACAGTAATGGATGTATTATATTTTGTTTGTACCATAGTTTTTATTTAAATTAGTTGGACTCAGTTTTGAAAGTATTTCGTATTTTCAGTACAAATTATGAAAGTATACTCGGTTTATTGTTTGAATGCTATAGGTACTACTTGTAACATGCTTTCTTTAGGGTCTATTATGACTATGTTACTTATGTTCTTGTGTTCTTGAAAGCCTTGTATGCCACTGTAAACTTATTCTGCTTAGTCATAATAAATAGCTTCTGGAGGCAGGGGCTTTAATCCGTGTAAGGCAGACATCATGTCAGCTAGGTAATGGAGCCCCTGTTCTCTGGTTAACAGTAAATAGGTCTATCAATTCCAACGAGGATTCATGGTTCTGTGCTATCTGCTATGATGACTTCAAGAAAGATATGATTCAAAGTCTGCGGTGTATAGAGTGGGTTCATGAGAATTGTGCTGGCATCAAAAAGGTGATCAAAATGTATTAATTCAAAATATGCAACTGAATTTATCAAGAACGAATAATTGATGCAGTAATTTGTGTAAAATTTATAGCCTAATATTAATAGTAGGCTTAATAATTATTTTATGCTATTTGAAAATTTGAAAATTATGGTTATTATGCTAGTTTAACTATAAATTACCCTCAAATTCCCCTTTTTATTAAATTGTTTCTGATAAACGAAATTCAATGTTATTTCATAGATTCCCACGTCAGGCCTATTTTGTGATTATAAAGATTAAACTAAAATCCAACTCTTGATTCCTTGTGAATAATGCGAAGCTGTCAATGCATTTCAATGTATTTTCAGTGGTCTGTGATGGTTTCTAACCAGAAATTTATGCTTACGAATCATGCTCAAAAACGTTTTAAACATTTTATTGAGTTTTATGAAAATGATACCGTATTAAAATGAAAATAGCTACTGGCCCATTCATAGAAACTCACCGGCTCAATGATGACCTCAGGTTTCTTTCATTGGGCCAGTGGAACCTATTTTTATTTTTTTAATATTTACTGAACATTTCATTATTATAAAATATGTGTAGTATGAAAAATAATATTCACATTAACATGTTAAAATCTGTAAAATTTCCAAATTTAACGATTTTAAAGATCATTTTGTAAAAGTAGCTCATCGATAGCAACCTTCCCCTATATAAAAAAGTAACGGCAGTTTTCGTTCTGAAGAACGTTCGGTTTATTTACATTTTTGGCGCTATCAGATATAGCTAGGAATAATCGAAAACAAAAATTCGTTGACGTTCGACACAGATTAGTATGAAGATTTCGAATTCGTCCTCAGATCCGTTTTAGCTATTTCAGTTACAGCCAACTCTATAATCGTATCAAAAATTGAAACGTAATTGAAATTCAAGTTTAAAAATCTGAAAAGAAGTTAGGTTGATTCTCAACAGATCTTGATGTAGCCAGAGATGCTACTAATTTAAAACGAATAAAAACTGATGCCATTTGTTAAGTACAAAACTTATTACTCAGAATTTATTATTTGTGAAGCTTCGAACTAGATGTTAAAAATGAAATATCTAATTGCTATAATTTTAAAGCAAGCTTATGGCAACTAAAACATGATTTCTTATATTTCTTATTACGCAAAATTATTTTAGAAAAGGCGTTAAAATTAGGAAATTATTTAAAAAAAGTACTTTCATTTTTAAAAGTCTGAGCGCTTGTATTCATATTTATTTTCAGGATGTAAAAACCGCATAAATCAAAAAGTATCAACAAGTATTGTACAGTATTTTTCAATAGCTCAAATCAAAGTGCAATACAGTAATAATATAAATTCAAAATTAACGAAACATTTCAATCTTATCATTTCGCAACTGCCACATCTTTTGCACTGGATATTTTCTCCTTAAAATATCAACACATCTATTTACACTTAATTTACATGGTTAATAACAAAACAGAGGACATGTGACTGACTTTCAAACACTGACGTTAGAAACGTCTTTAACACCGTCTCTCCAAATCTTTTGTATCGTTAGGTTGTATTATGCTACTACACAATTCATCAGTCATTCATTTTACGCGACTCGGCAGATATTGCCATTGCAAAAGAAAGAGCTTTGACTTAATTTTTAGGGATTTAGCAAATAGCTAATTTCTAGCGTATTATTCCCATTTAACAAGATATACCATCTTTAATTTATCTCTCAATTTAGGTTAAGATAATTGATAAAGCCAAAGCAATGAAAGCGCAAAAAAAATCCCATAGCGAATATTTGGCAAGAATTGGAATCAAGAATTCGCAAACACACCATTTCTTCAAAACAACAATTAAAATTGGTGCTTCAAGAAGAATGGGGTAAAATCACTCCAGAAATCGCAAGCAAATTAGTCGAATCCATCCCAAGAAGATTAAATCATGTTTTAAAAGTAAAAGGAAATTCAACAAAATATTAAAACCTTTTAAAAAGTAAAATTTTTGGATAAATATTTGATGGAAAAGTAAGTGTCCCATCACTTATGTGAGCCATTTTTTGCTCCGTTCTAAAGAATTGTATTTTTATTAAGTTAATATTTTAATATTTTGAGAAAATATATGTTATATAATAATTGTAACTAAATTTAAGTATAAAAACACACCCACAAAAAATTTTTACATTTTTTTTTTTTTTAATTTATTTTACTACAGTTTCCTTTTGTAAAGCACAAGTGTCCCATCACTTTTGTGAGACACTGTAGATAAGTTTTAGAAAACTCTTCTTAGCATAATAATTTTAATTTATTTAAAATTTAAGATTATACGTCAATATTTCAAATGCATAATAATGTTGTTGTAAGTTTTCTTTTTTAACTAACTACTGATTTCTGTAAAAAATTATATGATTACTTTATTTAAAAAAATAATTCTAGTACACTTTAGCATACCTTGTAGAGACATTAGGATTTTTTTTGGAAGCAGGAGACTTGAAAAATGAGCAATGTTCTCCCCGGGAATCGAACCACGGCCTCTCGAATACGAGCGTGCAGACTACACCACGAAGGCACGCTAAGAAGGCGGGAGAAATACCTTATAACTTTAGTACTGAATAATCGTTAATGAAAAATATGTCTAACCCTAACATGTGTTTTTACTAATACATTTTATTTTCTTTGCTAGCTCTTGCATTTGTTAGTGTTATTCAAGTAATTAGCCTGCTTGTTAGGCATTCTTTACTTCGTTCTAACAAGTAAAGAATATCTGACTATTTCCCCCCTTGGCTTCGGAGAGTAAAATTGTAACCTTTTTGAAAGGGAAGTCTTCTTCGGAAAGTGTGAAGGCCCCCTGTAGTGTTCTAAGGGGAAATGAAAACGTTTGCTTTAAGCGGTCGTTAAATTCTTCGGCAGGCAACGGGGGGGGGGGAGAAATTTTGATCCGCGCAGTTGGAATATACCCTCGAGGACTATTTGCCGGTGGAGAGGGATGCTTTCGTGGAGAACGTTTTAAGAGGAACTGGCTTGCATTCATGTTCCACATGAGAAAAACCCAACCAGCCCATTCACTGGGATTCGAACCTAGGTCAAACTACCAGTATTCAACGACTTTACTACTCAGCCACTAGCTGGCAAGTATATATCTCAAGTTAAAACTTTAAACTGCTGAATAGATCGAGCATTAAAATAATATTCAAACTTTTAAGTAAGTGATAACTTAGCTTCATTCCTTAAAAAATACCTCTAATGGCATGTATTTTATAATGCATCTACTTCAAGTGGTTTATAATATATGCAATTAACTAGTTTTTTAAATATTTACGGGATTATTGAAATTAATAACCAATGTTCGTAACTATACTCGGTTCCGCAGTACAAAATAATCATTTGCACATCGCTTAACTATTAGGTTTTCCTTTATCGCTTACTCGACCTTGCAAATGGCTTTTTTTCAGAATGAAATGCTGCCATTCAAGCAGAGATAAAAATCATTGATTTAACCTTAAATAAATTAAAACAATACATTAAACAAACTCAGCAGTTTAAAAAATAATAATAAATGCTATATTTAATAATTTTTATTTGTATTGTATTTTTATTAATGCATAATCGATATAATTTCAAATATATTGAACTTATTATTTATGAGAACTTAAGGCACTACTGTTATTGGTATGACGTCATATATTACGTACCTCGATTTAAAGTCATTTCATCATTTATTAACATAAACTTTTACATCTGGCAATGGAGGGCATTGCTAGTTATCGCGAGCTATGTGATTTACAGACACTCAGCTAAGCAGTTAAATTTTACTGCAACTAGGGAAAAAGCCATTTTCCTTTTGCAATCTGACGGGAATTTATGGAATTACCACGTGCAGTTTCTAACAAATACAAACTTAAGCGATTGGAAGAGTTGGACTATAATAAAAGCGTAGGATATCTTTTGGTGAGTACAGGAACTGTTTCGAATTTGAGGAGCAGACATTCAGAAAACATCACAGGTATAAAGAACTTACCTTAATTTTCTCCAAACTGTGGAATTTCGCACGGAATGCAAACTCGCAACCCTCTCACTCTCGTTCCCTGGCTGATCCTCCATGCGTGCTGCAGACGACAACGAGGGAAAAATTACCAATGTAATAAAAGAACTGGAATTTCTCAAGGCCGATACAAACTTTCCTTCTCTTATCAAGCTTGCCTTTTTTTTTTCTCTCATTAATCGTTTTTCTTTTTTTTCTTTTTTTTTTTTTTTTTTTTTTTTTTCTTCGTTTGACAGCGGATTTGCAACGCGGAAGCCGACAAGGAAATTCGATGCGGTACATCACCGGTTAGCATGCACAAATAATAAATCAATAGTTGTTTGGAATTTCGAACGCTTTATTTATAACTACGCGTTTCATTCAAAACAGACAAATTTCATGCGCACTGGCGTCGTACGATATGTACAAAAGTCAAATGATTCCCTACCACAGTAATAATATGCAGCGTTTTATGTAGTTCATTTGCTATAAAATGATGCAAATATTCGAGAGAATTATCAGTTGAGTATATTAGAGTGCATTTTAAATTAAGCTAATATTTATCATCGGTGATGTACATTAAATTGATCAAAAAGTCATATTTGTTTTTTACATCCTTGTACGAAGTAAAAAGGAAGTATTGTAATCGCGAAAACTTTCAGGCAGCATATTTCAACGAAAATATCCATTTTGACGGCTATCGAATGCAATTTAACGATGTTTTTGCGTGATATCTGTACGTAAGGACAGAATAAAATACTCGTTTCCTCCAAAAAAAATATAAAACTGCTTTAAAATAAATTCTGAAGAGAATTTTTCGTGGCGTCTGTACGAACGTATGTACGTACGTACGTACGTATCTCGCATAACTCAAAAACGAGTAACCTCAGAACGTTGAAATTTTGTGAATAAGACTACTATAATATGTAGACGTGCACCTCGTATTTTGTTTGTAATCGGCCGCACAAACGTATATAAATATATTTATAAATATATCCACTCTGTTACCCGGCTGAGTGATCTCAGTTTCTTTACTCTTATATGTTTGTAAATTGTACATTTTTTGCTTTAAAAACGATTGAGTTATGTTGTTCTTATCTTCCGGCTAAGGTTTTTATGCCTTTAGTAAATCTGTATGCAATATTTTAGAATTATCAACAATTTTAAAGTTGTTTAGGTGCCGCTAAGCCTAATAATTTCTTTGATGTTGGTCATTGCTTGTTTACATGTGAAACAGGAGAATAGTGGATTTTTTGCCAATTTAGGTTAGATTAGGTTATTCAATTACGGCAAAGCCTCGAGGGCTATCTGCCTAAGGGGAGGAATGCCTTCGTGGAGGACTTTCTAAAGGAAACTGGCTCGTATACACGTTACACGTGGGGAAAACCACGAAAACACCCATGCAGCCAGCCCGTTCGCGGGATTCGAACCTCGGTGACCGAACAACCAGTGTTCAGCGACTTTACCACTCGGCCGTTGGTGGGCTGTTGCCAATTTAGAAAAACTTAGCTTCGCAGCAACAAACATAACGCCTTCGTTTATTATTGCGAATTAAATCATGCTTAATCCTTTCTGGGATTTTTTCGAGGAGATAAGAGTTTAAGATTTACTTCGTAATTTTTAATACAGATATTTTGAGTTTTTATGTATTTTTGCCTTGTCGCAAAGTGAGAACTGAATTAATTAAATGAGAAATACTCAATCGTCTGTGAAAAACTGTTTCTTTTTTGTTTTGTTTGCTGAATTTCTTTTATACATCGTTCTAGCTTTATTATAGTATTTGAATAGAACATGTGGCAACGATTAGATAATTCTTTAAATCATATAAATTTTGTCATTCTGAGTTATAATATAATATATTGGTAAAGGCCGTTAATGGTCAATTACCTCTTACTAAGTCATAAGACATAGACACAGACATAGTTATGAACGAAATATAATACTGTTTAGTGAACCTAGCGCCAGAGTGTCGCTATGGTAAACAAACAGAGTGACTTTTAAAGAATGCATTTATTCTATTGCGATTTATGCGCTGTCGGGGAAGTCGATTTAAATCAATCCAATAAGTTTAAATGAAATGCAAGAAAAAATGCGTATAATTTAATATTCCGTACAAGGAAGTCATGTGGTGTACACTTCAGATTTTTTTAATTAGTGTATTGGGAACTTGCGACTACTGGTAACGTTATTTAAAAGAAGGCCTAATTTGTCGTTGAGCATAAGAGATAAAAATAATAATTCTAATGATATTGCCTTTTCCTAAATAACAGCTTAATCATTTTATTTATTCAAGTAAGTTCAAATTTTTTCAGCTTTACTTAATGAAGAATTTAAAATTGCTTCTTAGACAGAGCCTGTTTAAAAGTGAATCAGCATCTGCCGAAGAAAACAGGAATCAAACATGAGAATTGATTTGGAAGGTTTCTTTGATTATGCCAAAGCACTCGAGGGCTATCTGCTTAAGAGAAGGGGTGTCTTCGTGGAGGGCTTTCTAAGGTAAAATGGCTCGTATACGCATTAAACACTGGAAAAACCTCGAAAGTGGCCATGCTGCCAGCCTCTTCGCCAGAATTTGAACCATAGACCGAACTATAGTTTTCAGCGTCTTTATCGCTCTGCCGCTGGTGGGCATTCAAATATGAGAAATGTTAGTTCTTAGAATTTTGAAAACTTTAAGAAAAAAATGGACTTGAATTAATGTGATTAATAAGAAACAAAAGGAGGGAATTAAAAGCAAGAAGAAAACAAAAGAAAGAAAAGTAAAACGAAGAAGATGGTGAATACACTGGTGTGCAAAAATTAAGGACGAAGTCGAAAAATTAGCATATTAGCTGAACGAAGAGGCAGAGCGGACAGAAAGACCAATCAGGAGATTAAGTAAGGTGATGTACGGTAGCACATGTGCAGATATGCAGGTAGACGTAATGGGGGAGTGTCTGAGTAGTATAAAGCATGTTGTCGGTGTAAGATCAGTATTTCTGGCAAAGAGATTGCACGCAGTATAGCAGTTAAAAACACACCGAGTTGCTGCCTCGGCGAGAAATGGCGAATAATCAATCTGTTAGACGACATCTGGATGCTTTTACCCGAGGTCGAATCATTGGGAAGTTGGAGGAAGGCCGCAGTGTGACAAGTGTGGCTGCAGAGTTCGGAATTGCTCACAGCATCGTTTCACGACTTTGGAGACAATTTCAAACTACAGGAACAGCTATCCGGGGGTTTAGTAGTGGTCGTCCACGAGGAACCACACCCGCAGATGACCGGTATATTGCCTTACAGGCCAGAAGAAACAGGCGGCAGACAGCGGGAGAAATCGCTAGACGTACGACACAGGTGACTGGACGACCGATATCGCGTTTTACCGTGGCCAGAAGACTGCGCGGTGGTGGTCTGTTTGCACGACGCCCTGTACGGTGTGTACCTCTAAAGCCTGCCCATCGGAGAAGGCGTTCTCTGTGGTGCCGGGAACACCGGAATTCGAGAGACAATGAAAGGAGACGAGTACTCTTTACAGATGAGAGCAGATTCAGTCCGAGTAGCGATTCTCATCGCATACTCATCAGGGGAGAGCGGGGAAGCCGCAATCATCCCTCAAACATCATTGAAAGGGACAGGTATGGAGGTGGCGGTGTTCTCGTTTGGGGAGGCATCATGCTTGGTAGTCGTACAGACCTTCACATCTTCGACGCAGGGATTCGACCCGTTATTGTAACGAGATTCTTCTTCCATATGTGCGTCTTTTTAGAGGCGCTATGGGTCCGCAGTTCCTTTTCATGGACGACAATGCACCATGTCATCGCACAGTAGCTGCAACAGCTCTTAGAGAGTGAGGATATTGAACGTATGGATTGGCCGGCACGATCTCCGGATCTCAATCCATTCTTGCTGGACACCCATCACAGGGATGTTTCGGCCTTCAGTCGCATTGCGCTCCATGCTACTTTTTCAATAAAGCTTCTTTTTATCCCTCTGATTTCTCTTTTAGTAAGTGTTGCTTACATTACTCATGTCCTTACGTATTGGGGATCTTACCGTATTAAATGTGTTGATTTGGAAAGCTTTTGTACAAAGTTACATTGAAAAAACCGTCTCGTCCTTAATTTTTGCACACCAGTGTAGTTTGTGACTATGAAAAGCTTCAAGGACCGAAGTTTACGAGTTCATAAATAGATGTAACTTTACGGATAGCCCAATCTAAAATCATGGCTGGCTTTGCTAAAGAGGGTTATGATTTGGTTTGCTTAACTAAGATTAGTTAACAAAGATTTGCTAATTGCTCCTTTAAAACACATCTGTATACTTTCATGAGAAATTTCAACCCTATTTTAGTATAGCGAAATATGGCAAACCACACTGACAAAGTATGCTGTAAATTCCCGAAGAATCAAATCAGAGATCACAAAATATTCAAAAATGGCATGCCTTTAGAATTTTCAATAGAACGTCTCGCGTAATGGAGATAAAAATGTTTTTTTTTCGAACAGTGTTGCCACTGCTCGCTTTAAAATCATTTTGTGAGTAACAAATTCGTTAACGTTTTAAAAAATACGAAATCAATAATAAAACAAACTCGAAATTCAAAAGTCGTGTTTCCAGTTGCCTACATTCGGATGGAAGACTACGTTTCTCAAAATTTGATGGCTCTAAATACCGTCGTTTTTTTCACAGTGCGAGAAACATACATACATTCATGCAGATTCTTCATTATTTTAATGCAGGGCATGGTGGCAACAATTTAAATAGTGATTCTATAAGTGAACGGACGTAAAATCCCAATTCGACACTAATAGTCCTTTTTGGGTTAATAAAATAGAAAAACACATTGCCATATGCAAAGAACAATTGCTATATATTATTCAGTTATAATCAAAGCCTAAATTTTTATTTACCATGTATACGCGGCATCCATCTTGAGTTGTCAGCAAAGGGTTAAAGTAACTTACCCTTGCTCGCGCGATATCCGTTATAATCCTCGAATGGCTAAGGCACAGGTATAGAAACGGTAGCAAAATTCACAATGCTTTGAGCTCTTTACTGACATATATGTTACGCAGTTGTATACTTTGACAAGCACTTCTTCGAAAAACTGATTTTAAATTGTCATACTTTTGAACAAGCTAAAGTTGCAGGGTAGTAGAAAAAACAGAAAAATTTTAAACTGAAACTGGTTGCATTTTCCGTTCCGACAGACGACGGTCTAATTTTAGCAGCAAGAATAAATTTTGTTATCACAGAAGTGTATTTTATTCAACTACCTAATCACCTGGTTACGTCAATGCATTAGAATATGCACTCGAATGACTCGTCAAGTTTGTGATGCCATGAATTGCCGATAACTGAGTGACAATTAAGGGCATTCTGATAGCGAATGCGATTCGAAAGATTTCAAATAGCGCAGGAAAATAAGAACTTTGCATTGGT